CGACTCGATGCGGTGGTCGCTGCCGCTGAGAAGAAGGGCGTGAAGCTCATCATCCCCTTTGTGAACCACTGGGATGACTACGGCGGCATGAACGCCTACGTGAAAGCCTTTGGCGGCTCCAAGGAGACTTGGTACACCAACACGCAGGCCCAAACTCAGTACAAGGCGTATATTCGGGCCGTTGTAAGCCGTTACAAGAACTCTCCAGCTATCTTTGCCTGGGAATTGGCCAACGAACCCCGCTGCAAGGGCTGCAGCACCGATGTGATTTTCCAGTGGGCGCAAGCGACGTCCCAATTCGTCAAGTCGCTGGATGCGCACCACATGGTCACTCTCGGCGATGAGGGCATGGGACTTCCCGGCGACGGAAGCTACCCCTACCAGTACGGCGAAGGTACAGATTTTGTCAAGAACCTCGGCATCAAGACGCTCGACTTTGGCACTTTCCACATGTACCCCGATCACTGTAAGTCACCTGGAAGAGACAAATTTTCTCATCTAAGTCTCGTCCGAATGGCGGGGATCGGACATAATCAACTGACACGGGGAAATAGGGAGCGTCGATCTGAAGACTTGGTCTCCCGGCTGGATCAAATCACACGGCGAGGCTTGCGCCAAGGCCGGTAAACCCTGCCTCTTTGAAGAATGTGAGTTTGTTTCCTCGTGTCTGATGTTAAACTCAACAAGCTCACACCCAAGAAGACGGTTCTCTGAGTGACCATTGCGGAATCGAGGCACCCTGGCAGCAGGTCTCGCGGACGGCGCCCGGACTGGGTGCCGATCTGTTCTGGCAATGGGGAGATCAGCTGAGCTCAGGGCAGACTCACAACGATGGGTTCACGATCTACAAGGGCAGTAGCGATTACCAGTGTCTGGTCGTCGACCATGTGAAGGCAATCAACGGGTGAAGATTTGACGCGCGCTAGCTAGTTAGACTTTGCGATGACAGGGAAGGGCATTCAATTACAGTCAATCACATCTGACCTGATCCTCATGGATCTTGTTTCATGCCCAAGGTCAGCGATGATCGCCCATTTCATCCGAAATATGGACGATGAGGCTCAAATACCTGATTCAATGGGGGCCGGGAGCCATCCTTCCGACGACGTTAAGTCCTGAAGAGGGATAGCCGGGGTCACAGCATGGCACCAGCACCCGTAGGTACACCATGGAAAAGGTTTCAACGCTGAAAGCATGATCAATCCCTACTCGGGATCCTGCCTCTGAGAAAGTAGTACCTGCAATAATTTGATTGTGTTAACACTGCGGCATAACATGAATCCTGTAGGATTTAACCGAAAATGCAGTTGATTGTACGAGAATGGAGGATAAGTAGAGGTCTTTGAGCGCCCTCAACTCACCGTTTACATCAGGAAACAAAGAGCATTTGTGCCTATTTTCGGCCCATGAGTTGCCTCTTTGACAAACACTCATCGAGTCATGATGTTTTTCAGCCGATCTGTATTGATTCTAGTCTGTTTCTACTCAATGTGGTCCGCCTCAGCTGAAGACAAGGTCAAGGTCATGCCTCTTGGAGATTCGATCACCGGCAGCCCAGTAAGTTTTCTGCTCTCTGGCTCTATGTTTCTCTAGCCCCGCTCGCTTGTTTCTTTGGAAAGTAAGATGTTGACGAATCACGATGAATTTAGGGTTGTTGGCGAGCTTTGCTATGGAAGAAGCTTCAGGATAACAATATGAAGAATATCGATTTTGTCGGAACTTTGCCACCGCAGGGATGCGGGTTCGACTACGACGGAGATAATGAGGGCCACGGTGGCCTTCTTGCGACAGACCTTGCTCGGGAGAATAGACTAGAGCGTTGGCTTGGGGATTCGAAGCCTGATATTGTCATGATGCACCTCGGCTCAAACGACGTGTGGAGTACGAAGCAGCCCGAGGAGATTCTTGGCGCATTGAATAAGCTGGTGGACCAAATGCGGGCTAGCAAAGAAAGTATGAAGATATTGGTGCGTATTCCCTCGCGAGCTGTCTTTGCACGGGCAACATGACCACTGGACATGACTCTAATGCCTGAATATCCTCTTCAGATTGCTCAGGTAATACCCCTAGACCCAGCCGGCTGTACGAATTGTATGCGAGGCGTTGAGGATTTCAACAAAGCCATACCAGATTGGGCCAGCAGTAAATCAAATGAGAAGAGCCGTATTACTGTGGTTGACTGCCATAAGGACTTTGACGTTAAGGGAATGACGCGAGATGGTGTACATCCCAATAACAAAGGCGACGAAAAGCTAGCTGATAGTTGGTTCGAGCCCCTGGTAAAGGTCATCAAAGGGGGCTAAGAAGTTTATCAATACTGAACATTCCCGCCTAGCATGCCTTTAATACAGATCAAATCATATCTCCTATCGCTGGGTATTAACATCGATATTTGGTATTAATACTTTGTCTTCTCTTCTGTGAGATCTTTTCAACTGTAAGAAAGTGCAATGATTAGAATCTCATTGTAGCATCCCTTCGTGGATTCATATCAGTCTCAGGCGAGACTGCGTTAGCGTCAGCCACGCATCAGCCTGTTCCTTTGTCTCCGTTCTGAAGGTCCCAAGTCGTTTGTAGATCGGAAGTGATTGAACGTTCTCTTCTTGCTCTGGACTGCTTTTCACCAAAAGCCCAGTTGGGAACGATGGTGATGAAAACTTTCTCTCGCCTGAGCTCCTATCAAGACCAAAGATGATGCAGCGCGACGCGAGAACGACCGCAGATACTTCGGTAATTTCATCAGCTTGTCCGAAATCAGCCAGCTTGAAAGTGCCGTCATTCCTTAACCCCGAGGGTGCTACAGCATCCAAAGATCCATGGGCCATGATCTTCCCGCCTTCATAGAAGAGGACCTCTGCAAGATATGTGTCCTGATCACTTTCGGTCTGCTGAACCGATCTCAGAACCACAGGAACACAGACAGCGCATAGCTCGATCCATGCGCTCTCAAGTCTTCCAAACTGATCTGAGCCCGCGGTTTCGATGTGGATATGCTCAATACTGCACTTTTGAATGAGCGGTAGTGAGAATCGCAAATCCCATGCGATTTCTGCATCACTAGATGCCCAGCTCCAGGATGGCGCCCTCCACGCTTTCGGTTTCGAAGGCTGCATGACAGTGTTCCAAAGCATTCCACGTATCAAATCATCTTTCCAAAGCCCAGCTACATATTCGTCTCCAAGTGCCGAGCTGAAAGTACGGGCCAATCCAGACAAAGCTGAAAACTTGTCATTGGAAACCGTGAGCTTTCGTCTGGTATACTCAATGATTAGATCTTTCCATCTCTCATAGAGGCTTTCCCTTCTCTCTTTCGCCTCATTGGGCGATATGTCTCTTGGTGCTGGTGAGAGCAGATGATGCCACTTTTGGACGTTGTCGTAAACCTTGCTACTATGCTCAAGACGTCGTTCCGACTGACAGCGAAAGTAGGACGTATGATTGTCAAAGTATAACACTCGAGTAGACATGAGATCTTCTTGATATGTCCAAGCCCGCATGGCCCATGCCCGTGTATGCATATGACTTGGATAGTCGGCATCCCAGGTCCGGTGTTCATTGAGACCTGACAGGACGTACGTGCCTGATACCTTACCCTGTCCCTTTTTAGACTCGAAAGGGACCAGAACCGACGGCCCAGCACTTGTTCGCTGAAGAAATCCCGTGTGAGAAGTGTCGCCTGCTGCCGCTACCAGTGTGAGGGTAGCATGTCGATACACGGCAAACATGAGCGCGGCCTCTGTGGCCCAGTCTTCGACGTCGTCTTGGATAATGCATAGCGCATCGATCCAGATGTATTTGATCCCCATATGACGCGCAAATACGACCGCATCTCTGATTGTATTTGGCATCTCTGGAAGCAGAATCTTCGTCTGGCGGTCTGCCAGAGTTGCCGCTGTGGTGGTAAGCTGTGGCTTACTGACGGATGGCGGGCCCCAGCAGTAGCTAAGAGCAATGTACGATGTTGTTGAAGGAAGGTTGTCACTCATGACCAAGCGAGCTAGTCCGTCGCCTATCTCTCCCACTTTAATCAACCGAGTCGGGAGACTTCTTGGCCCTGGAGAGCAACATTCCGGATGGTTGCTCGTGCAGCCCCAAACCCACTCCTTGAGGCGTTTGATGCAAGACGGAGCGAGAGCATTCATGATGGGGAGTTTCAACTCAATACCGAGGACACTTGCAACATCTTCTTTCGATTTTCGCAATGTTAGCAGAATGCCCTTGGTCCTGTGGCCTTGCAAGAAGTCATTGAGACGGCTAAGGCTAAGAGACACATACCATCATCTCCTTGATACGCGATAGCCCGCACTTTCCACCCTTCGGACCACGGTCCTTTACGCCAAGCCTCAGACTCAAACCTGAAATCAAGCCAGTATATCCCGTCTTGTTCGATTCCGTAATCGTCGGGCATCCAATCGCGTGTGACGTCGATGATGTCGGACCGCATCACGTAAGCAGGCGAGGAGAGCTTGGCTACCACATCTTTCGCTGTAGACCCTTGCAACGCAATTTGAAGGGGCTTTGGGAGCTTCTCATCGAGTACGAAGCAAAGATACTCGCAGAAAGAACAACCTGCTGCAGCCAATTTGCGAAACAGTGGAAGCTCCGGGTAGGTATCCTTTCTCTCCCAGTGCACAGCATCACGAACATCTCCCTCGGCGTCATCAAAAACGATGCCCGAGCACTCTGTACACAATGCCTTGGGGCTCCATGACGGCGTTACACAGCTTGATGCCATAATCGGATCGGGAAATGGATACCAAGCGGGATGTCTGGAAGGCCAGGTGGGTTGCGGTGGTTGATGAGGGGCTTGAAGCTTCAAGCTACCACATTGGTCCCAACAGCTGATTGGATAAGATCTATCTCTCCAATTGAATGCGGAGGGAGGAGACATGAATGAGCCTGGCGACTCCAACCGCAGTACTCACTCAATTCCTTCATTTTAACTGTCCATCAAACAGTTTGTGTGACGATAGTGCAAAAATTGATAAAAGGAGTAACAAGGGCTCAATCGGGATTCGAACCCGAGACCTCGCCCATTCACGCTTTGCGCAAGGGTTGGAATAGAACCCGAAGGGCGAATCATACCACTAGACCATTGAGCCGGAGCGACCTCCGTTGATCGGAGGCCAATGGTTGGAAGGCCGGCAAAATCTGGGACCTATGTTAGTAATCAGAGCCGTACGTCGATTTTGCAGCACTTCCCAAGGCTGTGAGCGATAATTGTGAAAGCCGACCCAAGCTTGGTTATTCCCCAACTTGATTAATGCTGAAAAAGTTTTATGCAACTCGCAGCGCGGGGTCAAACTCAGTGGCGTGCGGAGCTCCGTCGACGGTTTGTACTTTGCAAGCCTCAAAGGGGTGCTCCTGGGACTCAGCACTGGCCAAGAATGAACCTGACGGGGCAAAATCACACCCAAGCTATTCATTACGACACAGATTTCTGCGATGGCCTGCAACTTGAAGCCGAAAAGTTGGAAACCCGAAATGATTTCGCTACCAAACTGGCAAACAATGGGCCTTCAAACCGACCACGCGCATCTTTGTTCCATGTCCTTCCCCAGCGTTTCCACATAGTCGAGATAAACTATGGACCAAGCTTGTTACGTACCAAATTACTGGATGGGCATATGGGTCTGTCGAAAGAAGACCGAAAATCAAATGTCTGGTTTATTGTACATACACGAATCTCTGGCATTAATGCTTGCTTACTAAGTATGTTGTTATTTCGAGGTCAGCCTAATCCTTAGTCTGAAGAAATCGGTTTGCTTCTGAACATTGTAGAAAGGTGGGCTGGCACAAATACGCTGCGATTTCGTCCCTTGAACGCTGCCTATGGTTCGTTTTGCCCGATGAATTTAGCGATATGTTTGGCAGCATAACTCCTCAAGGCTCAAGCCATGACCACGTGCTCAACTGCCAACGCTCGGACAATGCGATTGATGATTTCTTCCCATTGCAAACGTAATCTCGTCATGGTTATTCGCTACTAGTATCGTCCTCACCTCCATGGAACGATCCGGGGGCCGAGGGGAAGAGCCACAATCAATCCTTGCTAGCACAACGGTCCAGGCGCTTGCCGTCCAAAGTTGGAAGTGGCAAATTGGCAACTCGCGCCTAATAAAGTCCAAATTATTCGACTTCCCTCTTCCAGTCTTTTGGCCCGGTGGATATCTCTTCTCGACAATTCACACTGACGGGCGCGAGGATCATGATGAGGTCTGTTCCGGAGCACGGAATGCGGAACAACAACCTCCCACATGCCATGAGGCAAGGGGATCCCGAATGCGAGGCAGAGCATATCCCTGTATCACTCTCAGTTGACGGTGCATCTCTCCTCTTTTTAGTTTCTTTCTGCGTCTGCGCAGGTTTCGCTTACGATACGCGGTGTCTTGGAATTTCATGTTCCTACCGAACATGAATCCATAAACAACAGAGTCTCGTCCCGGAGAGTTGTAGCCCTATGAACATTCACTTCCCGGGGTTGAACCAGCTTGACTCAACATAAGTGAGACGCTATTCATCTATCTTTCCTGCTGGAAGCCACGCTGATCGCGCGGCATTTGCGAGGGCGGCTGGCGCAGATCCTGTCAGGGTTGTCCAGGTCTGCGGTTCGGGGAGAGCGATTCGCTGGAGGCGCCGGATCGCGGGAATGAGCCATCGCTGGAGAGACCACCACGACGGCACCACCACTACCACGACGGCTCCCACGCCTTGCCAGGCACGCCAGGCACGCTCCCTGGCTTGTTCCGAGCGCTCGAAAATACGACCCTAATCTTACCATGGGGCTCGTGCGCCAAGAAATCCAGAGTGCAGGCGTCGTGGAGGCTTTGAACATGGTTCATGACTAGTGTACCCCTTCAACAGCGAGAATCGGCCACGCAACTGCGTTTCAGTCGTCTGAACTTTTCTGGTCGAGATAAGATGTCAAGTCGCGGTATATGGCCATGGCTTCTGGTTGTTTAGACTTTGCTTGGGTAAGTATGTTTATCAAGCAGTGTAGTCAAAATGTGGTGTAAGTCAACATCAAAATAGTGTCTACGGAGTGCATTCCGAAGCACCTCGCAACCGCCCCAACGCGGGCTGAAGCGGGGATAGAGTTGGCAAAAGTGGACTATCATGAGCCCCTTCTAATAACAAGGGACTTCACGGGTGGGTTTCGTCTGCCACTTCCGGCTAGGTAACCTGGCACGACTCCAGGGTGTCAACTATCTCGATATTGCAACGTGCCCGGGGTGATGGCAGGTGGGCAGACAAGAGCTTTCAAAAGGGGGCTCATCCTGCCCGTCAAAACCACAATGCGGTCCATCGTTGAACCCCCTTCCTGAATCGAGCCCGCTCATCTGCCCGTCATGCTTCGATTCAGCAGCATCCTATATCGCGAACTTTCGTGATGTTGACCTCGTCGCCTTGGGCGGCGCTCCTGCTGGCCAGCGTCCTTTCTCACTCCGCGCTCGCGGACGATTCTTGTTCGAGTTCTATTGACCCATTAGTATTACCCATAAAAGTAAGGAACAACTTCACGAGTCATTCAGTCACTTTTCATCACGTCTTACTTTCTTTGGGTGTGTGTCTATGTGTGTTTCGAGTGTCTGTGTGTGTGTTGCCGCGCGCGACTGTAGCTCTTGTTGACTTACATACTTTCTCTCCAGAACGTTACCTTTCCCAATGGCATCGGTGCCAATCGAGGCCTCAAGCTCACGCTTGGTGGCCAGGTTCAAGGCATGCGTATGTCCACCATCTTAAACAACACGCGAGTGAGGAATAGTCTGGACTGCCCAGACAACTCAACATACGCATTTGTCGGCTGCCAAGGAGCCTCGGGCAGTGTATACGACACCACAGGAGGCACATTCAGCCAAGTCGTCAACATCAAGGACTGGAACGTAACGTATGGTATCTGCCTGGCTGGATTGTCTTCAAACACATGGCTGACCCCACCATTAGAACAATCGACGCTCAGCCTGAAGATGGCGAAACGACGGTACTTCATGGATACGATGTCGCAAATTTTACCGATGCTCCAGCCGTAGCCTATGGATATCCCTTCGAGGTATGGGCCGATTATGATTCCATGAACAAAAGCGCCATTGCGTTTGGCCCGAACTCTTCCACCCTCGACAGCTTCGTAAGGAACGACTTGGCCCCCACGACAAGCTTCAGCCTGGACTACGGCTCAACATCAGAGCTTCACCCTCGCGACGGCCAGCTCGTCGTCGGCGGCTACAACGAAGCGCGCTATAATGAGTCCCAGGTCGCCGAGTTCAGCATGTGGGGAGCCAACGCCCCAGTCCCGTGCCCTCTCCAGGTTCTCGTGTCCGATATCGTCCTCACCAATACGGACGGCGACCACTCACTCTTCGACCCAGGCGTCAAGGTGGCTGCCTGCATTGATACGGTACAGAACAGCTTCACCCTCACGCAGAACATGTTTGCCAAGTTTCAGAGCCTCGGTAACCACACCACGACTGATGGCATGGCCTTTGGCGAATCCGACTTCCCAAAGGACCGTGAGTCACTCCTCGGCTCCCTGACCATCAAGCTGTCCAACGGCTACACAAGCGTCATCCCTCACTACGAGCTGGTCAGCCATGTACGCGGCACGGACGCCCGTGGTAGATATGCTGTGCTCAACAACAGCAGGATTAGCACCACGGTCGCCTCAGGTATGAGCGATCTGGGTGATAACATTCCCATCCTTGGAGGCGTTTTCCTGTCGCAGAACTACCTCCACGTCGATTACGACGCGGGCAAGTTCTGGCTAAGCCCGCAAGTCGCCAACGGAACCTTACCAGACCACATCACATCATCATGTAACGGCACCTCATCCTCGAGCGGCGGTAGCAAAGCCGCTCTGGGCGTCAAAGTCGGCGTCCCAGTAGCTATCGGCGCCGCCCTAATCTTTTTTGTCGCAATGTGGTTCTGGTTGAAGAACCGCAAACCTAAGCAAAACGGACAGTTCGCAGGCGCGTCTCGCTCCATACCACGATCGGAGAAGCGCGACGCTCCGGACTCCAAGTCCTCTACGACCAATTTCGCCGGCTACCACAATGTTAACCACGCGAATCCCGATGGGCACATGGAGCTAGAGGGCGACCTCGGCCACGCTGTAGGACACCAACAACAACGAGCCGAATTAGCAGAACCCGCACCGGCCTACAAGTCGGAGTGGCCCCGGCAGAATTCTATTCAAGGCGAGAGCGCCGCGTATTACCAACAATTCGAAGAGCTGGGCGAGAGTTACGAGCTCGCGGACACGTCGCCGCACTCTCAACTTACACAGTCTCCTCAAGAACTTCAGCAACCTCCACACCCCCAGATCGTCATCCCACCAACAAATCCACCTCCCATCAAACGAAAGGACACCGGCTTGAGCGACTGGGTGCCGAGTCCAGCGACACTGAAGAAGCAGTTGTCGGGATTCAGCGAGGCCGTCTCACCGACGAGTACACGTGCGAACAGCACAAGGGTTAATCCACATATTTCTCCTGTTTAGCGTATCTGAGGATAGATGAGTAATGATAATTCACTTCTTGAGGCATGAAACACATGACCCTGGTTAACTATGCAAACGTACAAAATAAGTTTCTGGTCGGAGTCTGTGGGCGGATCGTCGTCATTCTGTGACATGTGTGGGCACTGATGATCGATCCCCTGCCTCCTCCATGTGTCTGGGGATGACAAAAGGGGTTAGATGGCGTAGTCACTCCTTTGGATCATCGCTTCCACACCACAAAGGCTGTGGTAGTCGACAACGTCGCACAATTTTGGATCAGGAATATCTAAGCAGATTGCATTCAACTCCACGGGGTATCTCTTCAACGATAATAATAACAGTCGTGTGTGTTGGCGCATCTGTAACTTTCAGTCCCATACCAAACTCCCAAGAACGTGATCGTTCCGATAACAAAACCCACGAGAGCGATGACGATCCTGCTTTTTTCTGACCGGCCTACCATCAACGCAAGCAGTAGAGAGCTCATCGGCACCAACAGCCACCATCCAAACGAGTTCATGATGAGCATGAGTGGCACCGATGGCCCCAACATCAATAACACGGGGCCTATCCACCACTTTTCCTCCTTGAACCATATCCAAACCGCCCTCCAGAAGCCATATGTCGCGGGTGAGTCTGCCAACTCTAATTGAATTCTTCCGCCCTTTAGGCTCTTCTTGATTTCTTCCGAGAGTTGGTCGTGAGAGAGCTCGTCCGGGCCAGTCTCCTGGAGTTCCTTGCGTATAGCGTCCGATAGCTCCAAGACGCCCTTGTAGCCCCTCGGCACGTCGTACCGCCGACGCATCCGCATCGTCAATCGCGCCTTTATCCACATGTAAGCAAGACTCAACGTCCACAGCACGAGCAAGAGGACAAGGATGTAGAGCTGCAGATAGGAGAATCCCCATTGGTAGCTCTCTCGCCCGGCGTCGGCGCCGAGTCCGTGATCGCTCATGGGTTGACAACTCCCGTACGCCTTCATGTACTCCTTGGAGTAGGTCTCGTTTCCGGCAGTGTAGGTCAGGTTCTTTTCGTCTTTGAAGGGCATCAAGCCCGTGCGAGGGTCTGTCCAGTTCCAGCCGTATATCAAGTTCCTGTATGAAGGAAGTCCGGAAGCTGATATGTTGAGGGTCGGGGCTGGCATAGTCTTGTTCATCCAAGTGGTGTTCTTGTTTTCCAGCCCGTAGAATCCATACTCTTGAACATCTGCCAAAAGGGAACATATCAGCACCACAAGGTCTTGCGAATTATTGGCACTTCTTGTTATTGCTGTGGGACAATTGTACGTACAGTTTGAAACGTTTCGATGCAACGAACATCTCTGGGTCTTAGGCGTAGATTCGTCAAAGTCCCACCAGGTAGTAGAGTAGTCAGAGTAGCTCTTATCATCTTCTATGCAACCGAGAAGGCGTGACCATGAGCTTGCGCTACTGTAAGTGTTGTAACTAGAGCCTTGTCTAAAGTCAGCGTTTGCCTAGCGGTCATGGGAAGACCCCCGGAGAGATAGCACTTACGACCAGGGAAAGTGAGAGTGGTGTTACCCTCCATACCGATCCTCCAGCCGTCGTGGATTACATAACCAACAACCTCGAAGCCATCAAAAGGTATCAGCATGCCGTCGGAGCCCTGAACATATGCGTCGTTGTTCGCTACGTATCCCGTCATAGCACTACCTAGCGTGGGGAAGCATAAGATGAAGATGGTGACTAAGACCATGATAACCATCATAAATCTGGATCGCAGCCCTCGCGAACGAGCAAAGTCTCGTATCATGTGCCACGTTGACCAGAAGTTAGGTTGGTCCTGGAGGAATATGTTGCGGAAAAAGTCGTACGTCACGGGCTTGACTTGTATCGAGGTCGTCGTGTAGTCGGCAAAAACTCTCCAAGTGATCCAGGTCAGCAGAGCCTGCCCTCCTCGACCGAAGATCTGCGAGTGGCTGGTCAGTCGACGAACAAGAGGAATATGCGTTTTGAGTTATCCGTCATCTTACCACATCCCAAGCGACGTCAATGACTTTGGCATCCGCAAAGGAAAACCTGCCCCATGCCAGGGTGATCTGGAAGAATCCAGAAGAAGACCAGAGGTTATACTGATTCATCTCCACGTCGAAACTGCCGTCCGGTTTGCAGGCCGAGTCTCCGTACAACTCAGCGTTGCTTATAAAGGCCAATACGGTGCAGAGTCCTCCGACCCACGTCAGAGCCAATAGCCATGCTAGGACTGCGTACCAGTGGACAGCTCGAATGTCTCTAAACGCAGCAACCAAGGCCTCCATCCACTGCCTGCGATTCCATAGTCGCTGGCGAAAATCTTCCCACGCGGTCAGCGACGCCTTTTTCCATTGTCTGCTGTCCCACAGCCGCTGCCGGAACTTGCTCAACTTGAACTGGGTGGCTTCCTTGAGCGGTTTTCTGTCTTCGACGAGAAGCGGGGCGAACGATCTCGTTGATGCCGACGGAGCATCTTCACCATTCTCTTTTGGCGAGTTCATGATCGTCGGTTATGGTGTACTTTGGACTAGAGCAACATATGCGGTCGTGGCTTGATCCAGTGCTCAAGGCATTGCGTACAGATGGTCAAGAAGCACTCAATAGCTCGTTCGATAATTGAAATTCCACAAATGCGGCGTCATTGGATTTATCAGAGATCTCACATCCGGTCAGCCTGCATCACGTCGTGCAGCCTGATGGAGTGTGACAGGGGTTGAGGTCGGCCGCCAGCCTGCCTCGCTGTCAGCATGATTGATGTCATTTCGGCTGCTTCAAGCACCGCTGCAGTAGCTGGATGACTGCAGAAGAGACAATCCTGGACAAGCGCGTAGTGTTGATGCCAGGGAACATGCATTTAGACGCGCCGCGCTAATGGAGTTCTCACGTTGAGTCGTCGAGCACCGAGGGAAGTTGTCGATCTAAAAGGTTTAACCACTCACCACTCAGCCGCTGTGTTGCTGCCCTGGATGGCCTCCACCTTGTCCCAGAATCCGAAATTTGCTGCCAGCTTGCCAGGTCCAGTATCATTCAGCCCTGGTGGCGTGCATTTTGGGACTTTGGTATGCGGCAGAGCGTCACCACCTAGTGCCACCACTTTCGGGACGGGAGTGGACGTCGTACCATGACGCCACTGTCTATACGTGTGAGACACTTCGATGCTATTCATATTTGACAGATTTGGTTTGACAGCCTTCAATTGAGGCCGTCATATCGAAAAGGATGAACACAGATCCATACGTGCACAGGCAAGACAAGTAGCGTGAATAAGAAGTATGGACCAGAGTCCGCATATGGTCGCTTCATATCAGTTGCTTCCCGGGCCTCTTCGGAAGAGAAGCTTATTTCCGGGGGCGCTGAGCCAGCACTGCAATAGTTGGGGTACATGCCATGGTGCGATTCATAAGCGATCGCCGTCCAAGCACTTGTAGGATCCCAATCCTGGTCCCATTTCACGCAGGCAACAACTCAACTTCAGGAGAAAAAGCTGGAAATAGCATCAACATTGCGCAGATCGATTGATATTGACGTGGGAACCAAAAGAAATCCAACTGATGGAGCCAGAGTTTTCATTTCTTCACTCGCCTTTGGAATGAACTTGCTTCTCGAGGCAATTGCGGCATCAGTCAAGCTAGGCTTGGGCGACTTGAACGCACAGTCGCTCTGGTCCCAGCAACGAATTTGGTGGACGAAGAAGAGAAGGTAACAGGAGATGCGAACAGTCCACACAGGTAGTTGAGTGTCTGGTTTTATCGACAAGCCAAGCCGTCTTGTTGAAGCCTTTATGTCTTCCGACTCTTCTCTTCGATGGCTTGAGCACTATGACCAAGTCAATCAGTAGAGTCCACACAGCCTAGAAGACTGCTAGATAGCATGAGATAATTTCTTTACGTTACCGGACAATAGGCGCCTGAATTATTCAACCGACATTGGCTTGCCGCGTATGCTTCTCCTGTTCTACTGCTGTGAGGATATGCTTGAAGCGCCCGAAATGGTTACTCGGCCAGGCGATTTCGTTCCCAGCACTGAGAATCCGGCGCCAGACGTTCGGCGACCCCACGTGGCTTCTGACCTTAATCCATTGAAGCTTAGACTGCTCGTCCCACTCGATTACCAACCCGATGGGTCGAGATGACACTCGTTGACAGCACAAGCTAGGACATTTCAAAGTTCCCGGTTGTCGTGCCGCACTGATTCTCCTTGGACCCTAACGGACAGGCTTGACAGAGAAAAACACCATCTTTGCGAACTATTTGCTGCGGCCACCGTTCGTGGCGTGCGCAAAATCGTTACTCAGGGGTTTTGCGGCTGAGAGGCTTGGGCGCCACATGTCGTTGTGCAACCAACCAAACGTCGATCTAATCGGCCGGCGCCTTTGACATACCACACGATGTTGAGCTACAGTACCGACTATTTGGTTGGGTTCCGGCCGCTAACGAAGTAAGGAGACTAGTGCTTGCGGCAACAACGAAGACGATACCCTTTCCTGATTCACTGAAGAACTTCCCCCTGGCTACTGCATGAGATGGTGTCTCTTGTCGTTCGATTGAGCCTCGCCTGGAACTTAGAAGCCTCGCTTAGGCCCGAACGAGATGGTCCCCCGATGCGGCTGTCAACGTCGACCTATCGTGGTGTTAGACGATGGCCTTTTGCCAAGGAAAGCCTGACTCGAAATTTCGGCAGGTTGAAGGATGGGATTTCTTCATGAAAGGCGAATTGCCATATAATCCAGAGATCGTCGTCCCCAGCTTCCGGATTCGACTCTTGTGCTTCAACCAACTCCTCTCTGCCATTCACTCTTTCATGGCTTGAGTCGTTTCCGTTTCTGTCTCTTGTCACTCTTTGATTATCACCAGTTACACCTAGCTGACCACACTCGTTCCTCTTTCAGGATTAATTTCATCACTACAGTCTTTTGATTTAAACCATCACTCACACTCGTTTCATCATGAAGTGGTCTCTTGCCCTTCCCCTGCTTGGGCTATCTGGCGCCCTCGCACACCCAGGCCAGCGCAAATACCTCAACCAGAGGAACGAGACATTTGTCTCGGGTCAGTCTGGTAACTCTCTTACCCAGACTGCATCTGTGTCTGTGCCCCTCAGCACCGGTATTACTTTCCACCCTCCGGCCAACTCGACCCGCACACTCACGTTGGCCACCGGCACGGCCTCTGCCTCCGGTGATGTCGTTGCCGCAACGGCAGCTTCCTCCAGCACGGAGTACGAGTTCCCAACCTCCAAGCTTGGGCCCATTGCGACCCTCAAGCCTGCTATCCCAGATAATCACGATCTGAACGATGTCAACAACCTTACTCCTCAGCCTAGCGGCGCTGGTGCTCCAATCCACTATGCGCAAGATGCCGGCTCGAACGGAGGTGGCATCTATGCTGTTGCTACCCCCAAGTGGACTGCTCCGTCCATCGTTCTCGACCACTCTGGTCTCGTCACCGACGTTAAGCTCTCAGGCCAAGGCAGCCTGGTCATGACCTTTGGTGACCAGAATGCTTTTGACCACAGCGCGTCCAACTGGAAAGCCGACAACATCATCTTCGTCACTTATACGCCTGAGTGCGGTGACTACGACTTGGGCCAGAGATGCTACTTCCAGGCCAACTCTGTTACCTTTGACCGCAACTCCCTCTCCGCCACTGCTGCGGGACAGGCTAAGGATATCGGCGATGTCACCAAGGATATCAATGTCGTATGGGGAAGTTATGGCAGCCAGAATGTCAACTACGGCAACCCTGCAGCGACCGCCGAGCCCACCGCGACTGAGACTGATGTGACTCCGGCCTACTCCGTTGCTCCTACCATGACGGCTGCTTGTGTAGCTCCCGTGGATGAGAAGTACGGTCTCCCGACGGCATGCTTGGGACCCTACTTCGACGATGATCTCGATACAGAACTCGGCTACTTCGAGTCCGATGTCTTCAGCTTCAACGAGACCCTTTCTGAGGTTGACATCGATGGCGAGTTGACCGACTCGACCCTCGCCAAACGTATTACCGTTTTCCAGGACATCGGTAACGGCTTCAAGAAGATCGGCCCGGCGATTAAGAGCGGTGTCGTCAACCTCGGCAACAAGATCGAGACCGGAGCCAAGGCCGCCAAGAACAACGTCGTCAAGACGGGCGAAAAGGTTGTCAAGATTGGCGCCAAGGTCGTCGAGGTCGCAAAGACCGTCGTTGAGGTCGGCGGCAACATCCTGACAGGCAAGCCCAACCGCTTCGAGAAGGACTTTGACAAGCTCCTCCTCCCCTGGCCCGCCAAGGAGTGCAAGGAGGCCGAGAACGACAAGGACAAGAAGGAGAAGCTCAAGAATGCCTGCAAGCCTAAGAAGCAGGATAAGGACAAGGACAGCGAGGCCAAGGCCGTCAAGACCCCTTGGGGTGACGACGCTCTCCTGCTTAAGTCGTTCGGCACCATTCCTTCTCCCAAGGACCTGCGTCCCAAGGGATCCAAGAAACAGACTACCGTCACCAAGGGTAACTTCATCAACCTCTACTGTGTCAAGTGCGGTCTCTCCGGATCCCTCAAGACGAAGGGCAACATCACCATCGAGAACATTAAGGGTATCACCGACGGCTACATCGAGAGCGACATCGACATCTCAGTCGGTCTCGGCATCGGCATCTACGCTCAGTACTACCAGGAGCACAAGTTCCGCAACAACCTGTACGACATCCCCCTCTCGCCCTTCACCCTCGGCTTCGTCACCGTCGGCCCCATGCTTTCCATCGGTACCGAGGTGAAGTTCAGTCTCAACATGACCGGCACCGCAGTGGCTCGCGCCGACGTCAGCATCGCCCGTGCGAAGTTTGTCTACGACTGGAAGAAGGGCGGCTCCAAGACCATTGGCTTTAAGCCCGAGTTTAAGCCCAAATTCGAGGCCGAGGGCCAGGTTGAGATCGCCGCCCAGTTCGGCATCCCCGTCGGCCTCGAATTCGGCGTCACGACCTTCAGTGGATGCACCAGGTGCAAGGGATCAATCGGTATCGAGACCATGCCATCCATCAAGGCCGCTGCAGCCATTGCTGTCCAAGCCAAGTGGGATAACAGCACCGACGGTATTGAGGCTGGACTGAAGCCACTCAACAACTGCAGTGGCATCAGCACTACACTCAGTGTTCGCAACGATGTCACGGCCAAGTTCAAGGGCTTCGGGCTCCTCGACAAGGACTGGCCCGTCCACGAGACCAAGGACTACATCATTGCCTCGTACTGCATTGGGTAAGTGAAGATGTTCATCATAATCCTTGAGACACCTAGAGCAAGTGCCATGCTAACAACTGAACAGCAACAAGACGGATGGTACAAGCAAGGGCAAGCTCGGCCTCCACGATGACAAGCGCTCTCTCCCTGCCACTCCCTACAACAGATATGAGTACCGCCGTGATGCGAACAACGTCTCCGTCCCCACCAACTCCACCACCAACTCGACCCAGCTTGCCGACCTGACCAAGTACGTCGTCGAGGAGATTGAGTACCTCGGCTTCAACGGCACCGACCTCGCCGCCATTCCCTACAACCTCGATGAAGCGGCCTTTGACGGATACTGGTTCAGCACCCTCGCCCTCGAGAGCGACAACAGCTACGTGCTCGCTGCCTGCAGCGACGGCAACGTCTACCTCCAGAAGAACACCACCCAGAACGACCTCCCCTATTACATCACCTGCAACACCCTCTGGGCCGGCTACGGAGACGCCGCTCTCTCCACGCCCACTGGCGAGGTGCTGCACTACTACAACAACACCATGGACAAACTCGGCGTCAGCCGTCTTCGCGCCGGAGATGAGGCCAACCTCCCCGGAACCTCAGTCTATGTGTAAGTTCTTCCAGTTACGAGTTTCAATCCGTAAAGTTCGACCTTGCTAACGCGTATCCTAGCGCACTCACCCCCTTCTACTACGACGACAACGACAGCACCGCCAGCATCCTTGCCGCCATCGACCCCGAAGACAACATCTTCTTTCCCGCTGTCTGCACATACAAGGGCGACCAGACAGCCAAGATCTACCTCGTCGGCGAGGACGTCGACGCTGGCCTTGAGATGCTCAAGTCTCCTGACCTGACCTACACCGTCACCAACGGCGAGGTCGACG